AAATAAAAATCAAGCAATTATTACAATTGTGCAAAACAGTAGTTACCATTAAAATTTTATTCATCTTCAAATTCATAAAATTCGTCGTCTTCGTTATCAAAACTCTGATACTTATTTTCAATACTACTATCATCGTTGTTAAATAATGCATCGTCTAATTTCGGCCGGATACCGTGATTTTTAAACTTACATATGGCATATAAGACGCAAGGAATTTTAAAAGATATTTTTAGTAAAAAAAAAGTGCACCTTATAAGCCCGTCAAATACGGTAGTTTTGTCAAATCTTAATAATTAGGAAACAAAAAAAAAATATAACTTTTTTTTTTAACTTATTGAAACATTTTGGGGCATATTGTATTTATAACGTTAACCGTTGGAGTTTTGAAGTTCAGTCCATGCTTCTCTCCTCTCAACTCTACTGGCAAGTAACAGTTTTTCATTTTGTGACGGAAGGAGAATTACGTTTCGAATACCAGAAATACAGATTAAAACAGTAAACTTTAGCGACATCAGATAACAGAAAAAATCTGTTGCAACATGTGGTTGGTTGATCATCATCAATTTTGCCTTAATTTAAAATAGCTTCATCTCTCTCATTATGCAAATGGCTCAGTGATATTGGAGAACATCGATGGGCACCTCGACGTTGTGTAATGGTTAGGAAGCTTGTCTTGCTAGATCAATTACGACTGAGTAGTACCCCATACTTTCGGCCTTGTGCCACATCTAAGCCGGGCTTAGAAAATCGCTATTGGAGAACATCGTTCCAAAACTGGTTTCCACCACTACTTTATGATAAAGGCACTTAGGAAAAGCTTTCCTTTACTCCTACACCAACATGTCTAGTAATCTTGATTACGGCCTTCTCACTAGTATTCCTTAGTGAAGCAAACTTATTTTAGTTTCAAATAAACCTGGAAAGAAAAAGAAGAGTTTATAATATACAAATCTAATATATAAAGTTTGTTTATTTAGGAGAGCTTTTTAAGGACCATTGCCTAGAAATCCTGTCTTGAGCCTTCTTTATCGTTTAAAATTAGTAGTAACGATGAATGGTACATGAGGTTTCTCACCTTTTCAAGCAACGGCACACCTAAGAACAAATGAAAATATTGGGTTGGTGCATAATTATCAGGCGTTTTTGTAGGCGAGTTACTTGTTAATCAAAATTGCTATTTTGTTTACTTTTTTTAATAAAAATATTATTTTATTTTCAGGTTATAAAAATGCGTGCCGATAATCATGTACTCCGGAATAATCATTTTAAAATGTTATTGTTGAATTGTTATCTTTTTTCATAATAAATATTGTTTAAAAACGCCTGGTAATTATGCACCAACCCAATAGCAAAATTTTTAAAGGGTGTATTTAAATGTTATGAAATAAAACCATAGAGTTAAAAAAAAAAACACACACAAATATGAATTTTATTTCAATAAAGTTCATGAACTTATATAAACAATTTCCTTTCTGTTGTAGCTATAAATAACTTTTATCTGTTTGTCATATCTCCCAAATCCTGCTCCTCCATGCATTCACAAATTCGTCGGTTAGGTTATACGTTGTTTTCCTCTGTTTCTCTTACTTTCATTCTGTCCTGTGAGTACAAAATTTTCCAAGCTCTCTTTTCTCATTATATACCCCAGAAATGTCTCATGTTAAGTATAAGTGTCCCTTTTGTTGCCATTGTCTCTAGAAGTTCGTCATTGCTCACATGTTCGGTCCATGGCATTCTCAACATCTTTCTGCAGAACCACATTTCTGTTGCTTCAAATCTTTTCTTAATCTGTGAGGACATTGTCCAGTACTCACTGCCATCATAACTTAATACAGGCATTGGAGTAGCTTCCCGTTGTCTCCGGCACGGATTTAGATTCAGAGTTGTCCCCTAGATTGTTTGCTTTACCAAGGTTGAAAAATAGTTCCCCGCCATGGTTTCTGAGTAAATGTTGGATTCATGATTTTTTCAAGGCCATAAAAAAATGATATGGATGCAAAGGCTTCGGTTAGAATTTGAACCCGGTATGCCGATTCCATTTTCTGCTTTGATAATCCCTTACGTCACGTGTACATTCCATACTCCGTCCAAGGTTACACAGAAACCATATCGTTTTTGACACGGGCACAGGTATTCACTCATCCATAACTGAACAATGACATTTATACTTCCAAATCAATGTTTTAACCAGAATTCTAGTTAGAAAGAACCATGGCCTCCCTCTTTTAAAAGTAATTTATAGTAAATGATGTTGGCATCTATGATAAAAAAAAACATTAACTGCTTTTACGCAAGGTTAAAAAATAAGCGATTTATCATTTAATATATATATATAATAATATTTCTTAAAGTGGTACATTTGGTGACTAACTGTTCACTCCGACATCCAGTGTAAAAAAATATATATGTGGGCATGGAGGGCTCTGGAGAGAGGTAGTGCCTTTAATGTCTGGCACAATGCACCTTCGGGTGGACGGGCATCACTAGTCTTCAACCATTTCCTAAATCTCTCATGTGATGGCTCCAAATTGCCATATCCATGTAAACCGTTTCAGATGGCGGGCTAAACTCATGTGAGGGGGTGGTGTTAAAACGGCACCACTGAGCGAAAGACCTCCTCCCTCAATGCAGATCACCACCCAGGTTCCTCAGAGGAACTGCAACGGTCACGTGTTCGGGACCAAGGCGAGCGACCTTGATGGAGGATATCGGCTGTGGTCTAACCTGGAGAGGGATTGGCTCCGCCAGGTTAACATGCCACATGATGGTCACACTAAGAAACCATTCGAGGAGGCCCAGGATCTGGCACACAACCGCGACAGATGTAGGAGAATGGTGGACAGCTCAGCACGTCGGCACTCCCAACAACTCCTTTCGGGGTTAAGGCCAAAAGAAGAAGAAAAAGATTTAGGACCGTTGCAAGTGTTTTGAGTGTGTGTGTGTGTAGAGGGCTTTAATTCAGGGGTACGTGATTAAGAATTTGCACACTAAAATTGATTTATATATTTATTGAATCGAAAAATACAATTGTGGCACAAGGCCTGAAAAGGGGAGGGTTTGAGGCTGGTCTTCACTGACTATCCTATACCTAGCTAATCCGATTCACGATCCATTCACTCATTACAATTTGCCCACTCACCACAAGAACTCATCCATCACCAATCAATCCTCCTTACACCACAATACCACATGCTCACAAGGGGGGGACCTACAAAACGCGCCCCATGCCATTAAAAATTTAATGATAATTATATACATATAAAATTCTCGTGATGAGGGATGAGAGGGGAGGGAGATGAACCCAATAATAAACTGAAAATATAAACATAAGTCAAATTGAACATAACTGATGTTAGTAGGGCCCGTCCAACCCTCAAAAACAAAGAGGCCGCTATATTCTGCCCATGGGACAAAATCAAGAAGCTCTCTCACTAAGGGTGTGGGGACACTAAAATTGATTTATACGATTTTCACGGGGCAGGAGGCAAATTGTTCCTCCCCCGGCTCCTCTTTGGTGACGATCCTAGACTTATCTAATTATTAGAGCAAATGATTTGAAGAAGCGATTTTTCATTATTAATATTTCTCTATTTGCTTTTTGACATTATGTTTACAAACTATACAGTTGAGTTATTTACTCATGCCTCCCCCCCCACACACACACCCACTGAGACGAGATGCGACTCAAGGTCAGGCTTGATGTGGAGAACCAGAGCGTGTACACTCAGGTACAAAAATTGCCCAAGCCCCCACAAACGTCGATTGCGCTGGCCTCGTTGCCGACCACCGTTCTCCACTCTTTATTGCAATGAGGTGTAGCATCGGGCAGCTGTTCCTCAGGGTTGAGCGCCTCAAAGTATTATTTCCCTCAGCTGCATCTCTGTCCGCACTCTGCCCGAAGACCCAGACAAGTCTTCCACTTCAGAAACCAGAGTTATACAGTTAATATTCTGAGCCAGGTTTTGCAGATATAAATGCAATCGAATATATTCTCATTCCTTCAGTTCTTATAGGTACAATAATAAGAGTGCTCCCAAAATAATTACCTTAATTATGTAGATAAATGCTGGTGAGACAATCGCAATATGGTGCAGGGTAAAGTCAAGAAGAAAAAAATGACGAAAAAGAATAAATAAAAAATACACGCGTACTATTTTCAGCGGTGTTAGCAGTCACCATATGGTGGGTGTGATAATTTTGCTTTTCTATTTAATTGATTACTCTGTGCAGCCGGAAGTACGCCATTAATCTACCAACAGATGTCAGGACGGAGGCAATTCAACAACTACAAGACGCTATCTATACGCTTTTCTTTCTTTCTTTCTTTTTCTTTCTTTCTTTCTTTCTCTCTCTCTCTCTCTCTCTCTCTCTCTATATATATATATATATATATATATATATATATATATATATATATATATATATATAAACTCTCGACAGGCTTTGAAAAGCAGCCTGGAAAAAAAATTATAGTCATTACTGAACAATAAATCCCAGACGTCTTTACCGTGGCTTCTTTTCAACTAATGCTTTTTAGATAGCAAATATAAACTCAACATCCGACTCGCTCGTTTTGCTTTCAATGTTCAAGTGGTCAATTAATCTACTAGTCTGTCAACTCGTCCCGAAATTCTCAGTGGATTACAAGGTGCACTCAAGAGTCTGAGCTTCTCATTCACAAACAGTGCTGTTTTATATACAAGCATCTGGAGAGAGGAAAAATGTTGATATATAAAATAAATGAAATAAAAATCGAAAATGTTTTGGCAGATGTTTCGTTCGTTTTTTCAAGCGGCTTACTTTTGTTGTTGCTAAATAAATGACATCGGCCATTTCCGTTGTGAATTTCTTTCTCTGTACATTTCTAGTAATTTAAATGGGTGACTACTTCTGGAAGTTTGGTCACTTACTCTCCTGGCAATTCCACATGTCGATGGTCAAATCATAAAAATTAGGACATCTCACACTTCTCTTGTCTCTCTTTTGTTTTTATCGCTTAGTCTCTGTCTCTTTCTTTTGCTGGGTATCTCTCTCACTCGCTCTCTCTCTCTCTCTCTCTCTCTCTATCTATCTATCTATCTATCTATCTATCCATCTCTCTCCCTCTCTATCTATATATTAGCCTGAAGAAGTTCCGTTTAGGGACGAAACATAATGTAGGAATTTCTAAAAAAATTTATTTTTTCTTAGCTCACTCTGTCTTGGTTTATGTCTCTTTCTCTCTCTCTCTCGCACTCGATATATATATATATATATATATATATATATATATATATATATATATATTTAAAAAAATATGATTCCATATTTATTTAAATAAATAATTATATTTATTTGAATAAATAATTATATTTATGCTCTACTTTTGTATCGAGCACTATTTTTTTAAAACAATAACTAAAATACTAAGGAACTTTGGATTATTTACCTAACCAGTTCCTTCCTATTTTCTATATATTTTCACATATTATATATATATATATATATATATATATATATATATATATATATATATTATTTATTGTTATTATTAACTAAGATCGTTTACACATAACAAAACACGTAGACCAGCAAATTACTGGACGATAACGCGTTCAATGTGAGCAGATTTTGTAGATTACAATCGATTAATCTTACCAGACGAGCGGAGCTGTGTCTCTGCGAAACTTCATGTGAGAAGATAAGTCATTTGAACTTTTTTAACTTTAACTATTATATATATATTATATATATATATATATATATATATATATATATATATAACAAATAGAAATTTAATCATAAACCTAACCTCCTACAATTTAATACTCAAGATACCACCAAACCAAATCAGAAAACGAAATAATAGCCTAGTGAATATATATATATATATATACGTCTGTGTGTGTGTGTGTGTCATTTAAGTATTAATATCAATTATTTATGTAAAAATACAATTATTTTATGTAATAATACAACTTTCATATCCTAAAAGAAGAGAACGCTCAAAAATCAAAAAAATAAAAATAGAGATCATTATAAACGGCCACAAAAGGCTACAATTGATAGAAAGGAGGAAAAAAATCTCTCTATCGCCATCTCTCTCTCTCTCTATATATATATATATATATATATATATATATATAGAGAGAGAGAGAGAGAGAGAAAGAAAGAAAGAAAGAAAGAAAAGAAAGAAAGAAAGAAAGAGAGCGAGAGAGAGATTTAATAGACTGCTTAATGAAATTTGAGGAATTAAAAGACGACAAAATGATAACAATATTGGCAATAAGATTGATAATATTCATTATATATTAGCCTTTTGACAAAACTGAAATACGAAGAGAAATATTTTAAAGTCGGTTATTTTCGGACACGCCTGTGTCCTTTCTCAACGAGACGAAGAATATAAAAAAAAGTGGTAATTAGTCTTCCAAGGAATGTTGTTGTTCGTTAGAGAAAATTTCCAGTAAGTTTTCCGGCCTATTAAATCTATATATTATAAGAAGCACACGTGGACCATCTTTCGTTTTAATTATATATATATATATAAGTTTCGTTAAAAACGACTGACAAGGTACTGGGGATAAATTATGTCAGTCGTTTTTACACACACATACACGCACACATACACAAACACACATACATATATATATTTCTGTGTGTGTTTCTGTGTGTATGTAATTGAGAACTAATATAAAAAAAAACAAAGATATTCAAAAAGAAAATTCATAATTTTAAAAAAGATTGTATAGGCGTTTAATTGAGGAAAAATGTTATTCATTAACACTGCGCTCAATCTCAGTGCCATATCGGAAGCAAGATGTCAGCAGCTCGCTCATGTTGACCATCACGTCCATGATGGTAGCAAATAACGAGTTCTTAGTATCGTGAGGATGTCTCCCTCTTGATGATGACAAAGACTGTAGTTTCCAGCGCAAAGTCCCCTGTTATTCACTTTGAAGAAGTTTGCGATCTCTGGGGAGTTATGGTTAGTGGTTTGTGTCGAAAGCACAAAGCACCCTTTTCATTACCGTGTCTGATTAATGCTATCGATACGTCCGAAAGAAGCCTGAGAATGTTCAAATTTGGCCTATACTTTTTAACATTACATTAGCTCTTTTCGTATTTATGGCTTACCAAAGATATGTTCTCAATTACCCGGTGTATCTTGTATTCTACCATCTATTCACACACACACACACACACACACACACACACACATATATATATATATATATATATATATATATATATATATATATATATATATATATGGGACGGTTTCCTGGCACCAAAATAAGGTAAAATGTTCATATAAACATATGTCCAAAAGGACGTCGTTGTACCTCAGCACAGCACCTCATAACAAATGTTCAAAATGCCCCCCACTTGCTTCTACACAAACATACACCCGTCTGATCATTAACTGGCGAACCCCTTTCAAATACTCCTACAGGGTGTCGAATAGTTTCGCAGGCGCCCATAACATGTTGATGAAGCGTCTCTGCATTATTAATGTATGCTGCATAAAGCAATTGTTTTAGGTAGTCCCACAGATAAAAATCGAAAGGAATGATGTCGGGTGGATGTGCAGGCCATGGAAACGTTTCTCCCCTTTCTATCTATCTTTCACGGTAGATGTCTGCCAGTGCATCGCGAACAATATTACTAAAATGTGCTGGAGCCCCATTATGTATGAACCACATGCATCTTCGTGTGAGCAGGGGAACATCCTCTAGCAGGTCTGGACAATAAACAGCAACAAAGAATCGATGACTCGGCTGCCTTCAGTCTGTAAAAGCAATCTGATACAACCGTGCAGCCTTATTTAAAAATCATATCTGCCTGCTCACAATATGAATATTCTGCCATTGTTAAACAGAACACTACTCAATTAACTCATTACTACACACATTAAACGTTGAAGAGAGACTATCCACTAAGAATTAGTTTGTTGAATGTTTGACACGCAGACTCACTCTACACCTTTCTGGCCATAGCTCAATTAGATCTCATTTAAATATTCATGGAGACCTAACGGACACTATTCGTAACATACTAATATAATAGCATCATCTACATGCCAAAAAAAGGCTTAAAATGGAAGCCTTATTAATAAAAACAACACTTAATAATATTAACTATGAACATGGACACAATATCTTGACCGTGTTATGAAAAATGAAAACATTTTATAAAACATGCATGCAACAAACTAATTCTTATTTAACAGTTAAAATATTTAATCCTTGAAAATGGCTAAATGTATAGCCGAAAGCGCTCGGATAAAAAGAACATTCGGACAGTTTTTATATAATTTATCATCTGAAAAGAAAAAAAATATTAGATCGCATGAGAAATTGTATAAAAAACGAAATAAAAGCACCTTGTCGTATTCAATGAAATATATATATATATATATATATATATATATATATATATATATATATATATATATATATATATATATATATATATATAGATTAATTTAATAACCAGGTAGGCAATGACTGGTCATTATAACTTTCATGTGCTTGCACACAATATTCAGGTTTCTTCTGGGTAACTGAAGATTGTGTTCAAGCACATGAAACTTAAAGTAGTGGCAAGTCATTGACTACCTAGTTATTGAATTTATATTCAAATGCACTGTCATTTTTATGGCATGGAGCACTTTTATGCCAGAAGGCTTATTTTTGGGCAGACTCTGTTTAGAGCTGCTTATTCAAACCTTGGAATCAAATTTTAAAGAATATTTTACATCGCGACACAGAAATTTCTGTTTCGGAATTTAAATCTGTTCCATTAACAAGCGATGTTGGGTAACTTTTGATGTAAATGATTTAATTTAGTAAACAGAATGGTATGTTATTTAAGAGTTAAAATGTGGGAGGAACAATATTTCAAAATTTTTATGGGTATGTCTTCTTTGACCAATGAAAAGACGGGTCAAAGCTAGAGCCGAAAAGTGTAACAATGTAGGTTAGGGTGTGTGTGTTACAGAAACTAGTCTAGATGAACCTTCATTTTTACACATGTCACCAATTACATCTGGTTAAGTAAGAATATGATTTTTAGTTACAAAGAGATGTTTATCCAACAAAAAGTTAATTTTAAGATTTTATTTTTTTAGAATTATTACTGTTTATATTTTAGAACTATCTTAAAGGGGCTTCTAGTATGATTAAATCAATTTTCATAAAATACTATATTTATTTTATTTAATGGGCCATAGGACATATGACAATATTAAAATTAAAATCAAGGGAAAAATAAATATTATATGTACTATTTTATATAATAAAACAATGGATATATAATTGTAACAGTTTTTTTAGAAAAATTCTATTAACAATATTTTAACGTAAATATTATACAATATCTATATATGTTTGTTTGTGTATATGTATGTATGTATGTGTATATGTGTGTGTGTGTGTGTGTGTGTGTGTGTGTGTGTGTGTGTGTGTGTGTGTGCTTAACAGGTAACTAAAAATTCAAAAGATTTATCTTCCGACTTCAAGTTTCACAGATACGCTACTCGTGGGGGTAAGATAAATCTGTTTAAAAAATCTGCTCGCGTTTAAAAAATGTTAAACGCCAGACGTGTTTTGTTAGGCGTTAACGACCTGCCTTATACATGATAATATCTTTCTCATATTATATATGAGAAACTTGGTAATGCATTGAAGAATCATGAATAAGCAATTTCTGTGGAAATAACGAAAGAAAAAAAAAAGAAGAAAGAAATGGCCGTTGGGCGTAGCACTACATCAAAAACACTTCAATGATTCTTGACCTTTGTAATAGTTGAAATATCAGGACGCATAATTCCGTCTGCATTGTCACAATAATTGACTGAATTGATTTGCTCAACTATGTAGTCACATTCCTTGAATTAATCATAGTTAATGGAATGTGACTTCTCTGCTGGCTGAAGTTATAAGGCGAAGTGTTGTCATTATTCCATGAATTATTAATTATTTTGAATCCATAATTTATTTTTAATCATTTCACTCCAAGCAAGGCAATAAAGATGTAAGGGGTTACTGAGTGTTAAAGAATATGAGAAAAAAATTTATATTAGTACATGATTCAAATATATATACAGAAAATTTAAATATCTGGGAAATGTTTTAATAG